TTGGTGCTTCTCATTTGTTCAAACATTGCCACTACTCTTTCGTATTTCTGCGCTAATTCATGTACAATCTTTACCAATGGGATGACTATACATACTGAACAGAACCACAGCGAATCTGGCTTACTAGTGTGTTGCTTCAACTGGTTCACTATGAGCTTGGAACATTTGAGATGGAACTTGCCTTGGCAACTGCCATACTGGATTCCAATAAGTGCATTTATATGGCATTAAGAAAGGCCACAAACTACTGTCGATCTGGATGCGGTAACATGCGCTTTTGATTCGTTGCCACAATGGATTGCGTCGATCGATGGTATTCCAAGAGAGGCCCGAGCGCTTATGGTTTCCTGCCGGTCGCGTGTGAGCTGAATTGTCTGCATGTTCAAGGTCGTCACCTTCTGTCCATCTGGCCCAGGTGGGGCAAGTTTAAGCGGCTAGATAGTTCACGCGGCGAACAGAGCGACTGAGCGATACGGAGTTAACGTGTAGGATGGCTACTTTGAGGATTGCTCCACAGCTGTGGTTGCTGATTCGTCAGATGAAACGGGTAGTTGGCTTTCGTTTGATACCACAAATATTTCTGTGTGGTTCATGATTCGGAAAATTCCTCGATTATGTTTTTATGTGAATAGCGCAAAAACCGCAATGTGGAGAGAAAAGGCGATTCATACAAGCTAGATCCGAAAGATGGAGTGAACTAGATAGCGCTGATGAATCTGGGTCGAATGAGTGTGAACACACGTATGTGCGACAAAGTGCAACTGAGAACGGCGGCAAAACAACTTGCTCACAGATGGGCCATTAGAACCCAGGTTCGTTCAATGTGAGCGACCAATCCGAAAAAGTACCAGATAATCTTTTCGCCCTATTGGGACTTGTCAGTGGTGTGCGTTCCTCGGTCCCCAGCTGGGGATCGTACCCATGACCGCTAGTGGCTCGCACCACCAGCCAGAGGCTTGTGCTACTGAGCCATGAGCGACGGTGACCGAGTATCACGGATTGAATTCCATTTGCGATATAACCCGACCCATCCTCCACTGCCATACAGGTTACTACCTGTGCAGAGGAAATTCGTTGGCTGGCCGGGTCATCACTTCCTTGTCACTCCCGTGAATGTACGCAACATTTTAAAGACTGGTAGGACGTAGGGTTCGGTTACTACTTAGACGGTCTGCAGTAACTGTTGCGCATAAATATTGCCGCACGACATCTTGCTCTAGAGTGCCACGGATTTGAGTGATGTCTTGGCCAATCCGACCACTGGAACTGAAGAATGCATAAGTGCCACTTACTCTAAACATTTTATCGTTGGAAGCGCAATGTACTCACGCTTCATCAGCTCAGACGCATGGCAACATTATCTTTTCGTCTTGGCCAGCGAAAACGTAGTGTGGACTCTGCCTCAATTGAAAATGAACCTGTTGGAAATAAATGAGAATATCTGTAGCTCGGGGTGTGGATGCGGATTTTGAGCAGTTCTCCGAGCTGGATAATTATTTTGCAGACGTTTCGTTGCCTGACTAGGCAACATCATCAGTGCGGCTTCAGGGGCCTGGTTCGAAGTGTCTCGTAAGCGACTTCAATGTCCAAGTGCTTATTGATCGAGTTCTCTTTTGAATGCCAGGCTTCAATGAATTCACGTGCTTGCCGGCTTTTAGCCCTTCCGAGGATACTGGCGTGCTCTAGGTCGAATTGATGGTTTTCAGCATCCATATGCACTGACATCAGGGAGTTCTGGTCGTGGCGACGTATGGCTAGGCTGTGTTCGTGTAGCCTTGTGCCAAGCTTCCTCCCAGTCTGTCCCACGTAGTATTTGTCGCAGTTCCGGCAGCAGATCTTATAAATCACACCAGTTTCTTCTTCTTTGCTAAGTTTATCTTTTACTTTGAAGAGTTTACTGCGAATTGTTTCTGTTGGCTGGTGTGCAACTTTGACTCCAAAAGGCAATAAAAGCCTCGCTGCCATTTCAGAGATACCGCTGATATAGGGCAGTGTTGTTCTCTTTTCAGTTGTTGCATTCGTCGAGGTGTCTCGAGCAACCTTTCCTGGTGCGAGGCAGCGTAGAATGAAGCCTTTTGGGTATGAGTTCCGCTTGAACAGATTGAAGAGATGATCTTCCTCTGCCCGTCTCAGCTGCGGTGTGCTACAGTGGGTTTGTGCTCTTTTGAAAAGGGTTTGCACGCAGCTGCGTTTGTGGGCTGCCGGATGATTGCTGCCGTAGTTGAGGATCTGGTCCGTATGCGTCGGTTTTCGGTAGACTGTTGTTTCCAATCGTTCAGCACCAGTCCTTCGTATGAGAACGTCTAAGAATGGTAACTGCCCGTTGTTCTCTTCCTCCCTGGTGAATTGGATGCCATCGAACACACCGTTAATTAGTTCGTGTGTTTCCTCCAATTTGGAACGTTTGAGGATGACGAAGGTGTCGTCTACGTATCGTACCCAAAGTTTTGGTCTCGCGATCGGGAGTGCTATTTGTTCCAGCGCCTGCATCACTGCCTCGGCTACTAGACCAGAGATCGGTGATCCCATTGGTGTGCCTCTTATCTGTTCGTAAACTTGGCCATTGAAAGTGAAATGTGTTGTTAAACAGAATTCCAATAACTCTATCATCTGTTTGGGTTCGAGTCCACTGTTTGTATCAGACGACATGTGCTCCTCTAGCAGGCGCGTCATTGTTTGTTTCGCCAAACCAATATCGATGGAGGTGAACAAGGCGGTAACATCGAAAGAGACCATTATTTCGTCTTGTTCAATGGTTGCGGTCTTAAGTTTCTCAAGGAACTGTTCTGCCGAGTTGATTGAGTGTTCCGATCCCGCGATTAAGTGTTTCAGCCGTCTCCAGAGCTCCTTTGCAAGCCTGTAATTTGGTGCTCCAGGTAACGACACGATAGGGCGAAGCGGCACTCCGCTTTTGTGTACTTTAGGTAAGCCATAGAACCGCGGTAGTACCGAGTCTTGTGGTCGCATCCTCTTGTGTTCCAATTTTGTGATTTTCCCCATTTGTTCCAGTTTTTGCAGAGTGCGTCTGATGTTGCCTTCTAAGCGTTTTGTCGGGTCTTCGTTTATCGGCTGGTATGTGTTGGTGTCACTGAACCTGTGTCTGAGGAACAATATATTTTGGGATGTTATTTGAGATTGACTAAAACGGTAGACGGAAACCGGTGTTACCTAACAAGCAAACGTGGTTTGAGGGAAAATATGTAGATAGTTCATGCTACTTTATTCGTGGACTGACCGAGCTGTCTTTGATAACCAAATTAAGTACCCAGCGAGCTGTCTTCCAGCCATTGTTGCTGTTCCATAAGAAATACAAATCTTCGGAAGGGTGGGCGATGCTACTTCGCAAAGACAAACAGTTCAGTCTTCGAAATGCCTATAGCTACTATTTACTGTGACTTCTTCTTGTAGCACAGAAGTGTGAAAATGCCACTAGTTGATGCTTTCCTCTCTTCGCTGTTTCACTTTTGAAGGATAAATCAGTATTCACCTAATGACCGGAAACCTGAAAATCGATGAGTGTAGAAGCAACTCCCGACTCATGGCCTTGTGGACTATTTCCGTGGCTGTACTTAAATGCATCTGCAGGCGCCAGGCGTCAATAGCACGAAACTGTCGTATCCTACCGGGTCCGAATCGGCGACCTTTCACTTACGAGTTATCAATTTATGCCTCTGAGTTGTTGGGGATGGCAGCGGACCGTCATGATTGTTTTCCAACTACGATATAGCTGGGATCATTCTCCTAATAATCAGTAACTGCCTTAGTACCTTACGTGCCACCTCAATTGGTTGTGGCTTGCAACTTAGTCGTGGCTATTTGTTCTAGCCCTGCTATCTACAGGTTCAAAACATACAGGAGGATGAGCTGCGCTATAGTACAGTTAGAAATCAGACATGGCGGTTCGCCGCTGTCACTCATAGGCATAAGCTGGTGGCTCGTGAGAGTTCTGGTCAGGCAGGTTCCGAGGGATGCGCGTTACTGATGAAACCCAATAGAACTGTTTGACTGAGTGAAGCTGCTAGGAATCTTCGCAAGAATCAAACTGGTAGCTATTTTGAAACTGTAGCCGTCACTGTGACCTCACTATTTTGGTAATGAAGTGTGTGCCGTAGGCTAGTCACTCACGGCGCATTATTGTACCAGCCAAAGAACTGCGGATGAAAGTTGATGCTAAAGATGATCCCTTATCTGCCTAACACCTATGGTAAATGGATGTGTCATATTCGTAAGTTGGCTACTTCCATCCACTCCAGTTGTGCGAACAACGAGGGGAGAGAGATAAGGTTTCTTCTCAGTCGAAAACAGCAAAAACACTAACGAATAGGTGATTGTCGAACACACCAATGTATCAAAAACAAGAAACCGAATAGAAGCACTTTGAAGCGAACGGGCTAGACCCAGAGCAAATATAGACAACGAGAAGTAAGCGGCAGCTGATCTCAGCCAATGAAAATAATGCAACGATGAGTCAATACCAAAGTCACTGGATACGTGCGACAAGAAAGTCTTAAGTTGTAAACTTTTACATAAATATGGCTGATTTGTCGTTAGAATGAAACTGTTTAAGCTCAAATTCAAGACTGTTACCCAATATCCGAGAGGCGTTGAACATTTACCCAATTCAACTCATCTAGCCTGGAAGTGTCTACAGTTTGCTCCAAACGCGAGAGTAACTGAAAGCATCATGACCATCGAGGTTCATTATGACTCACCAATTAATCTTTGTGTGACAATAAGCACCTTCAGCTGCAATCCAGAACATTACTTTGCAACGAACAGGATTGTCGCTTAATATAATGTGCGCTTCAGTGCACTTGTAATTAGCAGCGAAGTTTAGAGATTAGTTTGTAACGAACATCAATGATTGCTTAGTGCGACATGATGCCATTTCAGAGATTAGCACTGTCCTGTGAATTTGCTGATGTTCCAAGGTAGATCATCCAAATTGGTCTAACAGCGCAGCGGACAAATGCAACACGGGGACTTAAATCCTGACTTACTCGTCCCTCCAATATCTACGGTGATTGTGTGACTGAATTTCCCGTACATGTTGGCTGCCTCGCAAATGAAAGTTCCACCGTCCTCCATATTCACACCTAAGATGAATCGGTTGGACAATTTGAGAGAACAAATTTACAAATGCCTGAAGTCAGTCACGATTTGTTGAGTAGTTTGTCAGTTCGGTGGGCAGTAGGAGAGATTTAGTTGGTAAATGTTGAAGTGAACGTTGCAAGAACCACATTGAAGCAGAAAAAGTATCGTGCACCAATAATATGCAGGCCAAATAAGAGTGTGCCGTGACAGTAAGTTAGTCCTGTAGGACTGCCGCTGATAGTGATAGAACAGATAGGAAAACCGTTCCGGCGCTCTCTCCTATGTATACTGACCGTCTGATTGACTACAGTTGAGTTGATCTCAACTTGTAGTTTGTTAACTACTAAATAGAGGAATCGAGCAGATCCACTACATAACTGTTCAATATCGACTCATTTGTTATGTGGGTTCTGCGTTTCAATCTCCTCATCATCCTCATAGGTCATTAATGTGATATGTGCACTTAAGTGTGATAGAACTAGCTTCTATTCATTTGGGTCACGAGAAGAATAATACCAAGGATTTATTTGGATTAGGCAATAAATGAAATAGTTAGCTAAAATGGTTGTGCATTAGCAAAATGAGAATAGTACGTTAATGACTTGGAACCCCAACATAACTGACAGAATAACTACACAGGAGGACTAAGGGCTCCAAACCTGCTTCGAATCTCGATTTGTTCCTCCGTACTCGGAAGACATGCCTCAATGATTAGCTTTTTAGAATACATTTCTAGTATTATGTTTAATGATAAAAACTGTCTGACTGCTGTTCATCCAGGTAGCATTATACCGGGATGAGTGGCCTAAGCTCTCCGATATGTTCGTTGAGGAAAGCACTAAATTTAACACCTGTGTGTGTGTTATACTTTATACGAATATAAGCGCCGCATCATATACTAGTAGCACTACAACTATCGTACTCACCTCGAATGGACAAAGAGTTATCTGCCTGTAGTCTGTATCTGTCTCCCATTTGAAGAGGCAGATTTCCGCTTGGAGTAGCTCGATACCACTTGACAGTAGGCGCAGGTTGACCCTGGACTGGACAAGTAAGCACAGTGTCCATGGAGAATTCAGCTAGAACAGTGGTATGAACTCCAGTATCTGTTCGAAGCTTTGGTGGGTCTACAAGGAAACAGGCAGGTCAAGGAGGGTGGTCCAGGTAATATTTAACGAATAAATTTGTTCATTCTGCCGGGATGCTGGGTATCAATGCCAGTCACTTGACGCAAATGCATCATTACATACTTGCCTTGTAGGGAAGAGTACCTCCGTGATTATGCCGGTTCAAATTATGCATCCATCAACACTCGCTTGGTGAGATCACAATTTTGGCAAGCATTGTTAACAATTCGCCAGAGAAAATAAAAGCACTAAGGTGCAAACAAATAAATAAATCACATTGATCCAGTAGAAGGATAGAGTTTAGAACCGGGTTTCGAGAAGATCCACCGGTTTTCAACCGCCGCCTACCGAGAGGACCAGTAGCGTTTGGTTAGGTGGCTGTGGAGTTAAGGGGACCCATTAGCTACGGTGAATTTCAATGCCTATTTTCACATCGTCTGCTCGCGCCAGCATTAGAACATAGCTGAATTCAATAGTTATGTGATTGATGATAGCAATACTATTGCCGCTGCACACAAAGCACGCATACCAACATGGTCGTCTGCTAGATATGATGTCACAATATTGGTAGTGGATGTAAAATTACAGACAGTCTAAAGTCATGTCTGAATACTAAAGTATTAGGTGGTATCCGAAATCTCTATACCGACCATATGAGAACCATTTTCGGGTTGCCTACAATCAGAAAACTTTTATAATATATTCGAAGTAAGATTGTTGCGCCAGTGATGCCATACTAAACTATTCGTTTGCATCGAAATTACTTGTCGGCATGGGTGACGAGTCGGAAATAAGTACCATTCAGACATTTATATCCGCCAAACTGGGACATTTTAACCGAGCGCAGAGAACTCGTTGAAGCCTATAGGGAGATCCCAGGAAACCGCGTGTCAAAGTTATTTTGAGGCGCTATCCAAGCTTCCTGTCTGGTGTTAGTATTTCGCGAAGAGGAGAGGTCGGTTGAGACCAGTGGGTTATCGTCCGAGGTATAGGCTGCCTCTTCTCTGCATGCATGGGGTATTCTGTTGCACCTTGGCAAGTCCCTTTGTGAGCAGATCACACGATGCACACCTATCAATTGCTTTCGATTCCCAGGACCTGCAATCAACGTTAAAACATGATAGGCGCACTTTGATCATGTCCTGGTAACGCATCTTCGGTTTTCCCACTTGCCGTTTCCATGCACTCAGTTCGTGTGGATCGCTGGGTTGATGGTGGGTTGCTGAATATCCGTCGTTTCGGTGAGAGAACCCTAGTATGTGAGACAAATATCCGTATGCCGCTTTTCGCTGAGGACTGCATTGTTTGCACATGGCGCGGATGAATTGCAACACATGACTAGGGCTCTGGCTTCGACAACGGCCAAATTCGGGCTCACCATCAACATAAGCAAAAACTGTCTGCATCTTTCAACCTACACCTGAGTTGCAGTCTGCAATGGTACCGCGAATCACCATTGGTGACGAAGTATTGGACACTACCTCCCGCTTCTGCTACATTGAGAGTGTGGTTTCGACTGACCAGCAGCTGCCCAGTAAGCCGTGTATGCAAATATCGAAGGGAGTGGCGGTATTCAGGAAGCTAGAATAACAAGTGTGAAACAATCACTAGCCTACCCTCGGCACGAAGCTGACGTTATACAAATCCATGGTGCTGTCCGTTCTTCTATACGGCAGCGAAGCGTGGACGATGTACCGGTGGGATGTGCCATATCTCGAGTGGTTTCATCAACAGTATTTGCAACAGATTCTGCACATCGGTTGGGGCGACAGAGTTGCCGTCACGGATGTGTTGCGACGAAGTGGTATGTATGCAGTGGACTGCATACTATTGCTGAGACACTTGTGGTGGTTCGGTCATGCTTGGCTTATAGAATCGACTCGGATACCGAAGCAGCTATTAGGTGGTCAGTTAAGTATGGGGAAGCGGCAAGTATGAAAACCGAAGATGCGTTACCAGGACATGATCAAATTGCGCTTATCATGTTTTAACGTTGATTGCAGGTCCTGGGAATCGAAAGCAATTGATAGGTGTGCATCGTGTGATCTGCTCACAAAGGGACTTGCCAAGGTGCAACAGAATACCCCATGCATGCAGAGAAGAGGCAGCAAGTGTAGAAACCGACAGTCGCCGCTGGGCATTACTCCATCGAGGTCGAGCGTATGTGGATGTAGCACATGCAGTCGCGAGCGCCTGAGTCAGGCAGGCCTTGTGAGCCACGAGCGAGGCCAGTTGGGACCAATATCGAAGAGACGACGTGTCCTGCTGAGAACGCATCTTTGGTAGGTACGATGCATTCGATTTACTAACCGCGTGCTTGCGTGATGTTTTCTTTATTTCAGATGGTAGGTTTGCTATCGTGTCTCAATACACCTATTTTACCACACCTTAACGGTTATCTAAACTTGTACCCGTTGCTTTTACTATTTGTGGTTAAGTTCGCAAACGTGTTCGCGTTTGTGGCATTCTATTAAAATTAAAGTTTCTGATATCTTGCAACGGTCACGGATTTATTGTTAACCACGTTAATTTATATGTTGGCGGGAGGGCCTATGGTGCGCTGAAGCTGGCGGTGGCTAGATCCTGACAGATGGGCTACCCACTGCTGCTACTGTTGTGCCATTTGCTCATGTCCGAGGCGCCTGCTCGTGGCGACCACTGGGTGGGAGTTGGGTTTCGCCCTTCTCCCTGCTAAGATCCAGGACACCACTCCGCATGAGTGAGTGATTTAAACATGTGCTAGACCCGCTGCCTTTCGGGTGTACATTTATTCGAACGCTTTGGCTGAGGACCTGAGTCGTTCACCTGTCAGGTGTGGGCGCCCTGCTAGTACCTAGTCCATGAGAGGATTGTCCTGTTCTCTGAGCCGGGCATTTCGGTTGCATTGGTTTGCTAGACCGCGAATCAGGACTGAATAGCCGCACTGAAGATATTACCTAGTTTGGTAACGAAACGTCTGCAACCGAAATGCCCGGCTCAGAAAACAGGACAATCCTCTCATCCACACCCCGAGCTACAGGTATTCTCAATAATTTCCATCCTAGTCCATCCTCATCGGAGGTTGGGAAGTGGTCGATGGCCCTCTCCCCGTAAAACCTAGCCATGGGAGACAACAGGTCTACGGGTTATAAGCTCACAGCTCGATTGCTGTAGTGCACGAGCGCCACGCATTGTCTCTGACGGAGGGAGGGCACCGCCATGTGTTCAATCGTTTGCTTCTGCCCGCCTCAGGCCAGGCAGCCCCTGGTCAAATTGGTGCAAACCCGCCAAAACCCACCGGCGTCTGACCGTGGTCGCAGGTGTACTCTACTACGGTCGCAAAATATATATGAATCGTTCCAGTACCTCAAAGGCTGCGTGTGACAGCCGTCAAGCTGATCACAATCTGTCTCTGCAATTACATTCCCGAGCTGGATCTGCTCCCCACTGCATTGTGGGTCAGGTTATCGACTCAAAGTCTCCGGGCGGAGTCCCTCAAGCAAACCAAAAAACCACCCACTGCCTTGTGGGGCAGGCTATTGAGCCAAAGGCTCCGGGCGGAGTCTCTCAAGCAAACCTCCGAAGCACAACGGCCACCTTGCGTGCGATTGCCCACCAATTCAATCGTATGCCTGCGCGCAAAGCACTTAGCATCGGGTGCTGGAACGTGCGCACACTACTGGACCGGAACTCCAGTGAGCGCACCGGGCGACGCACTGCACTGGTCGCGATATAACGGGCGCGCTACCACATCTATATTACGGCGCTCAGTGAAACTCGGCTCGCTGAGCAAGGTAAGTTGCATGAAACAGGTGTTGGCTACACATTCTACTGGGTGGGCAACGCCGCCTCAGCACCACTTGAACATGGGGTCGGTTTTGCAATATCCGATCGCCTCCATGGCCAGTTGGTGGGTGAACCAACGGGCATCAGCGCGCGACTGATGATTGTTGGCCTACGACTCGGAAGAGGTAAGTTTGCCACTTTTATATGCACGTACGGTCCGACTATGTGTTATCCTGATGACACGCGTGATCAATTCTACACTCAGCTATCCTCCGTGTTACGGTCTGTGCCGAGGAGCGACAGACTATTTCTTCTGGGTGATTTCAACGCGCGCGTTGGGCGTGATGCATCGGTGTGGACAGATGTTATCGGTCCGCATGGCATTGCTTCAGCGAATGCGAACGGTGACTGGCTGCTTTCACTGTGTGTCACTCACGGCCTGACGATCACGAACATTCGGTTTGTCTGAGTGTAGGTGATATAGTAACTTGGACGCACCCACGGAGTTGTCACGCTCACCTGCTCGTCTATGTCATCGTACGTCAGCGTGAAATGCGTGAACAGCGCATGACACTTGTACTGCGTGGAGCTGAGTGTGGCACTGATCACAAATTGGTGCGGACCAAACTGTACATATCTTTTCGTAAATCTATGTATTGCACTCCCGCCGTGAATCGGCGTACATTTAACATTCTCTCCATCGGTACTGTGGCGAAACGTACTGAGCTGGAGAAGGCGATGGCTGCACGCCTGTGTGATGTGGAAGGCATAGCCACAGTGGGCGACCTGTGGCACCACATTCGCGACCAGGTGACAGCTGCTGCTGAGGAGACCATCGGGCGCGCAAACTGTAAGCGGCCTGATTGGTTTGATGAGAACAATGTGACGATTGGCGCATTGGTGTCGGAGAATAATGCAGCATTTGCTGCACATGTGGCAGACCCCAGTGACTTGGGGAAGAAGAGTCAGTTTCGCAAACTTCGACGGCGACTGACCCGAGAGCTCCGTCGCTTTAAAAATGCATGGTGAACGGAGAAGGCGAAGCAGCTGGAATGCTACGCCGAACGCCGCCAACACAAGGAATTCCTTGACTCCTTGAAGGCTATGTATGGACCGAGATTGGAGCCGCTGAGGACACTGATCGATGGTAGTTCAGGCGCTACCTGCACCCAGACTGCAGACATAATGCAGATCTGGCGGAAACACTTTGACTGTCTCTTGAACAAACGTTCAGA